CAATGTCCCCGGCGTGATTTACTACATTGCGGTACAGAATCGCTCAAATGTTACTCGGTTGTCACTTATTTTACGTTGAGGCAGAAGTAGAAGCTTCCTCTCCCGCACATACATCGGGAGCAAGAGAACACCTCTGCAAATAGTCACAATTTTCTTCTTTTCATTCTAGCATCGTCAGTAATTCTCCACAATCCCGATTTTCGATTTTATTTAATCATAGTTGGGCCGTTTCGGAATTCGAGAGTCGACTCGACTGGAATTCTCCTGGCATTTCCGTGTTTGTAAAATAAGGGAGCGAGTGAGGCATCAGGCTCATTTGCAATTCTGTTTATCATTAGAAACTTGCGAATGCTTAGTATTCTGAATACGCATATTCATGCATATTCATCAAACTGTAATTAATCATAGCAGGAGCGCTGGGGTGCCGCAGAAGCGGCGGCCGCTTGCGTCTCTATGCGACACCCTCTTTCTCCTTCCGACGTGTAACCCTTCGAGCAAAATAGGGATGTTGCGGAGAATTGAGCATCCACACGGAGGATATAAATAATGCAACTCAGACAATTGCTAATCCTTTATGACTTCTGCACCTTGATATCGCAATGTAATTAACCCATAAGTATACGCTTTTAATAAATGATGATTAGATATATGGAAATAATTAAAACTAAAGTTAAGTATTGTTAAGAATAGTGAATCTACGTGCATATTCTTTTAGAGAGACTCAATAAAACAATACACTTTAGATATTCTTCAAATTCGGAGTTTTTAGTCGTTTCGTACTTTTTATCGTAGACTAAAAAATGGCTAGAAACGTTCGAAATGTGAGTAATGATGAGGATTTTAGATAGAGAAGGTTAGAAATAAGAGGTTAATTAGAAAGAGTAGGAGAAGAGAGGTCACTATGGAAGTCAATAAGAAATAGGCGAGATGGGTTGGTAGGACACCTTCTTAAGCATGAAGGTCTAGTCAGAGACATATTAGAGGCAGAGACAGGAGTTAGGAGGGGTAGAGGTAGACCTAGGTTAGATTACGGTTCACAAATATTAAGGATGTGGGATGTTCTAGTTTTAAAAAAATTCAATGATTGGCTTAATACAGGAATGAGGGTAGGTGCGTGTTCAACCGGTCTTAGGATTGACAACCTTATGATGATGATAATGATGATGTAAAACATGTCAATTAATTCTTTACTATTCTAATTTGTGTCGAGATGGGGGGATCTAACAAAAGTAACTAAGTAATCCCAAAGATATCCTGAGATTTACATTGAATAAGAAATTAAGAATCACTGTATCAAAAATGAAGGTGGGTGGTTACATTTATCCATTTTTAATAAACTTGTAGTGTCAGAAAATTCTGTCGGAGCTGCCTGCGACGCGCTGATGAGATCCAAAAAGATCGAAATCGCGATCCGCGTCTGGCAGTTTCGACAAAATACAGACCACTTCGAACTATTTTAACTTGTAGTGTTTTCATAAAAAATCATAGTTAATTTTATGAAAATGGACTTCGAAATCTGATTATAGATACTAAAANCCTGCGACGCGCTGATGAGATCCAAAAAGATCGAAATCGCGATCCGCGTCTGGCAGTTTCGACAAAATACAGACCACTTCGAACTATTTTAACTTGTAGTGTTTTCATAAAAAATCATAGTTAATTTTATGAAAATGGACTTCGAAATCTGATTATAGATACTAAAAAAAAAGCTGTCTCCTTTTTATTATTTAGTTAGTACTGTTGGATATGATAAAGTGTCGCAGTAAATTCCTTAATTACAGCGTTATTTGAGGGGGTTTATGGTGGGTAGCTGGTTCGGTGTCGTCCGTGGTGTCCCTGGGGGTCGGCACACGTACCATCCCCATGTTAGATGTGTATTCAAACAAACCATCTTTTTATCAACAGATGGTGCTCATTACATAAAGGCCATAAACGGACCCATTGTGTTCTTAATGTGGCGGGAAATTTAGTGTGTTGTTTAGCTATTTACATTATCTGTTGGCCCGTCACCGCCACCTTGATGCCGGGGGTTGTGATTTATATTCTTCGCGTTGTACAATGAACCTGCTCCTCCTTTCGCACACACAAACGCATACATTTTACTCATAACATTTGGGTACGTACCTACATTTAGATCATAAATAAAAGCCAACATTTTTCGAGAAATAGCGTCTTTTTTGTATGTTTGGTTTGCTTTTATCTGGTATCGGGATATAATTAACAACTTCAAAATATTTTCCGTTCATAAAAAAAGGGTTTTAGTATTTTATATAGTTCAATTCTGCAAGATTCCGTTTTGATGTTCTTGTCGGAAAAGATAATGAGTGGAATGGCCGGCGCATCCACCATTTTTATACAGGTACGACCATTATAAAACACTGCTTGACGAAAAAAGTACTGGACAGATTTAAATGATACTGTACCTTCTAATAAAATTAACTTCTGAGTAGTATTAGTTAATTTGTTATACATAAAAAATCAATATTAATCAAAGTCTCAACGGTAAAAACTACTAAAAAATATACTCCTGTCTACTACTCGTTTATATGTTACTCATAAAAAATTAATATTAGTGAATAGCTCAGAAATAGGTATAAAAACTCGAGCGCCACTTTGCCAAAGCAAAGAACTAATAAAAGAATTGCTTCGGACTTACCTGACTTAAAATGAATGCTCGAACAAGTTCCCATCTACATAAACAAATTAACAATTGGAAGAAATTTGCTCAATCTAAAAATTAGGCCTTGATTATAAAACAATACCTATCTATAGTTGGCACCTTATTCAGGATTCTATGATGAACTTCTTTATTTGGTAAACTAGGACTTACAAATAGATTGATAACGGTTCAATAAGAAATGGTTCTGGCATATATGGAGAATTGGACCAAGAAAGATTTAAGATAGTCCACCAAAAGTTACCAAGAACAAGAGCCAAAACCTCAAATTAAAATTTTCCCAAGGCTTCAAACAATCACCATTTCTTGCATATTCCTTACGGGAAGAGTTAGAAACATAATTCCAGTCATCATCATCATCATCAGGTCATCAGTCCTAAGACTGGCTGGACACGTACCTCCACTCCTTCCTATCCTGAGCTAAACTTCGCATTTCCCTAAAACTAAAACAACCCACATCCTTAACTATTTGCGAAGAGTAATCTAATCTAGGTCTACCTCTACCCCTCCTAACTCCTGTTTCTGCCTCTAATATGTCTCTGACTAGACCTTCATGCCTAAGAAGGTGTCCTACCAACCTATCTCGCCTATTTTTTATTGACTTCCACAGAGTCCTCTGTTCTCCTATTCTTTCTAATACCTCTTCATTTCTAACCTTTTCTACCCACGATATCCTCATCATCCGCCTATAACACCACATTTCGAACGCTTCTAACCTTTTCTTTTCCGCCGCTCCCACTGTCCATGTTACGCACCCGTACAACGCCGTGCTCCAAACATACACCTTTAACAACCTTTTTCGAATTTCTAATTTAACCATTCGCGAGCATAGAAGTGACTTCTTTTTATTAAAGGCGACACGACCCTGCGCTATCCTCTGCTTTATATCCCTACTACTCCTTCCATCCTCACTTATCTGACTTCCTAGGTATCTAAAATCAGCCACTTCTTCTAATACTGAATCAAAATTATCAGCATATTCCTCATGATGCATCATTCATCATCATATCCATGAATACCGAACACTCGCAGAACCGATTTCTACAGTTGACTTTTAATAAGAAATTTGCATTGAGGAATGCAAGGATCATGCAGATGTGATTTTTTTGAGACGAGTATTTCGCGAATACCCATGTTCATGAGTAGTGGCATAACTAGCAATTGCCGCCCGATTTTTTTTGCAAAAAAGTATCAGATACTAAAGTGGAAAAATTACATAAACAAAATAATTGAAAAATCTCTTCTTCGTAAAACGGGAAAATAGGGATCTAATGTAACAAATTGTTAAGACTGCTGTTGTTTTAAGCGGTGCCGGTGATGCGCGGTAGTTAAGGGCAAAGGTACAAAAGGGGCGTAATGGTAATACCGTTGAGAAATGAACAATATATCACCCGATGTGAATTATATGAAGTTGGGCCGGCCAGTACACAAAGGCCTTTATTGTAATGGAAATGTGTACGAACATACACACACACAATTACAAATACATAGAACTGATAACTCCAGCACATGAGTTACATATACATAGAGAGAATCTTTCCATTGTCCGACAATGCTCCAACGTTTGGGATTAGAGGTGTTATAACTTTCAGACCATTGTTCCCCACATCCATTTTCATGGTAATTTACTGCTTGTTATTCAGTTTTATATGTGTGGTTACCATCGATTCTATGACGTATGACTAGATTAAGAATATGACCAATAAACTTGTTAAAAATGACGAAAAGCGAAAGAGTGGTTAATAAGATTAAACCTGATCTTTGGTATCTAAACATGGGTTTATTATTAGTTTTAACCCTGCATTAAGACATCATTTATTAGTACCTACTTTATTTTTAACTTTTTTGTTATTATTTTTTAATAATTATACTTAAAAACGAAGATAACGTAAGAATATACTTAAATTTTTTAAAAACACCGATTTTCTGTTTAAAATATGTATAATACACCTCGTATATACCTCCACATCTAGTTTTCTGTATCTCTCGCGTATACTTAAAATTAGGTTTACTTTTTCTTAAATAGGTGGCGCCTCATGTTCCTGTCATGATTAAAATAATTTTGTGCAGCAGCAAACACCAACAATTTTGTATGATTATTAGGTAATTTATGACTTATACTTATAACCAATAAGACTTAATTTATAAGACTGATTAATTAATTGAATAAGCGGGTAGCAGGTTACAGTGATATTCCAGAAAGCATGAAATAAAGCTGGATTTTTCAGGTTTAAGTTTAGCCAGTGATCAGGAGATGGCACAACACGTTCCTTTAATCATTAAATTAATTAATATACTGCGCTACTACAGCATAGTGGCCAGTGGTGTGACACTTTAAGTTATAAATATTATTTGTTTGGTGTTGTCATCCTTCAAACGTTCGTCTCTTTTTGTAACTAATTAAATATAAAGTAATTAACAATTACTAAGATAAGAAGTTGTGAGTGTTCAGTCGTTCAGTACAGAGTTTCTAAGTGTCTTGCTAGTGCTTGAACCATCGAAGAAAAATTTAAAAAGCATAATTAATCAAGATGAAGGCTTTTGTCTTCATCTCAGCTACTGTTTTATTATCAGGTAAATCATGGAAAAGTTGTTACGTTAAATTTTTCTGAATCATCAAAATTAAACTTTGTTACTGATGACTGCATATATTCTACATTGTTTATACTTATTTACTGCGCCATTGTTTTATTTTAAGAAATTTTTGTTTCTGAAGTTTTATTTCTGAAGTTTATCGTATTAGAAAACGAAATATTTTTATATAATATACATTTTTTTAGTTTTAGCTGTAACAAATGCAGATCCTGAACCCCTACCTAGGCTTTTGGGTGCTAAACAGTGTACTTGGGGCCCATCTTATTGGTGCAGCAACATAACGTATGCCTAATTAATCTTATTAATTTAATAAACAATTAGTGTTGTTCTATTATTTCACATTTAAAATTTGTATTTGTTCATTGGTTTATCAAATTCCAGTGGCTTTGTATCAAGAAGCCCTTTGACCTTTAAAAGTAAATAGTTATTTGATAATGATATCTTTAATAGAACTTATTTAAATTGCCTTTGAAGATATTTCACCATCTTTATAGATTTCTGAAGCTCCACTATCTATAATGCCTGCTAAGAATAATTTAATATACTTGAATCTTAATCATAGGAATTTAAAAATAATTCTATTATTTTCTTGTTGTAAGGATATTTTAAAGCCAAGGTTGAATTAAAATGAGTTTTTTGCTTGATAAAAAAATATTTTACATTCAAAGTTAGCTACGTATCTTTTATTTATGAATATAAAAACATTTGCATAATTACGTTATTAATTTTCGTTTAATACTTAATGTATTGGATTGATTAAATTAATAATTAAAACGACTGATAAAATAAGGTAAGACGAGCGACAATTTTTATAGAAATGCAGCTGGCTGTAGAGCTGTTAAACACTGCATTCAAACAGTTTGGGTACACAAGAAGTTACCCCCGGATCATAGCAGTGTTTGTCAAACATGTTTGGATATGGTCAAACAAGCCAGAGATCAGTTACTAAGCAATATGACAGAAGTAAGCAGCTACTACATATTGTATTTATTGTAATAATTTAATCTTATCGATTTTTTTTCTTTTATCGTAAATCCGGTAGTCAAAAGTTTATGGTAGGTACTGTATCTTCAGCGCTCACTTTGAGAACCACTGAGTTAATGTACAGTGGTTACCATAAAAAATGTTATATTCCTACTATTCCATTTTATTATGCAAGTTCTCTATTTAAAATAATGAAGAGTTACAAACTTTCTTCTTATCATAAAATGATTAATATCTAGGTTTAATTAAATCAAATTTTGGAGTCAGAAAGGCATTGTCGGTATGTTTTGTGTTTAGAGCGAAATCAAAGAGGTTTTTGAAGGTTCTTGCAATCTTATACCTGTCGAAATCGTTGCAAAAGAATGTAGAAATCTTGTGGACCAGTTCATACCCGAACTGGTTGACACCCTCGCTTCCCAAATGGATCCTCAGGTAGTTTGTCATGTGTCTGGTCTATGTAATAACGAAAGGGTAACAAAACTCTTGGCCGAAGCCCAACTGCAATCAACAGCAAGGCCTACTACGAACATGGACAGTTGCAGTGCATGTCAAACTGTTTTACATTTGGTCGAAGAAAAATTCAAGAAATCTAGTAGAGACCAGGTGTTGCAAGGCATGCTTAAGGTGGGTAAACTGTTAAAAACAATCGTCGTATTAGTCTCATTAAACGCATTTGTTTAACAAATAAGCAATTAACAAGCAGTGATTCATAAGGCAATTAGAAACAGTTTTTATACGTACATTTGCGTATGTGTTTTTGTGATTCACAACGTAATGAATTGTTTGTAACAATTTATTTTATTCTCATCTAAATTAATGGCGAAAAATATTGCTTACAAATTTTTTGCTGAAATTTTCTTAAATATTTTCGGCAGATAGTCGGATAATACGTTCCAATTCTGATGCCACTGTTACTGATAAGTGATAACATAAGGTCATCATTTTATGTTTTTCTAATTTGGCATTATTTACGTTTTAAATAATCGTTTGGTTCGTCCATTGACATTAAAAGGCAATCACGATTGGATGAATGCGTATGGGTAATGAAAAACAGTATAATTTGAGATGTTGATCTACTCGATCGGATCAAATTTAATGGACAAAATCGAAAAAAGAAACGGAAATTAATCTTTTTTATCTTTTAAATTCATATCTCCGTTGTAATTATAGTTATAGCGCTGGGATTTCGTGTAATGGGTGCAATTTGTTTTCTTTATATCTGAGAAAATAAGGCGCTGCTGGATAGTTTTTCCATAAAGGCGATTGGCTTTTTCGTTCGTTGTTACAACGAATTTCAATGATTTTAATTTTGCAAACAGATTTTAAAAGTAGAAATCAACGCTTATTATTATCACTATCATCATCATTAGTATTTACTATTATGACTATTACTATTCGTAGTAAATCGTTTGAAGTCCAACCGCTCGAATTTTTTTTGCTTGGACCGGTTAACTGTATCTCATCCGAACCTGTTGAAGATTTTCAGTATTAATTAATAATGAGAATCTTAAGAGGTCATGAAATAGAAATCTCATATTAGGAGAAAAATGTAACACTTTATTTTTCATTATTTTCTGCATGACCGCCACCCCCCACCCCAGCGTACATAAAACTGAATTTAAAATATCATACGGGTTTGCGTAGGTTTGTGGTAGAATGAGCAGTTTGTCGGACGCTTGCAGCAACATTATATTGACCTATTTCAACGAAATATACAGTCACTTGTTAGAAAACTTGGGTTCTAACGAATTCTGCATAGTGACTGGAGAGTGCAGTGGTCAATTCCATCAGCACACTTCCATTCAAGTGACCCCTCTGTCTAGTGTTGGAATCGTTGACGTTAGGTAAACGAACTGGACAACGTAAAATACGTTTTTGTCTGCAACTTTGATTTATTTTGTTAGCGAAAGAGATGATCTGCCATGCGACCTTTGTCGTCAATTAGTCGGTCATTTTCGTGATGTTATTGTTGCTAACACAACCGAAGATGAATTTCAGAAAGTTTTAGTAGGAATTTGTAATCAGACGAAGAGTTTTGCCCCCGAATGCAGATCAATCGTTGACGAATATTACCCGGAAATTTATAAATTCCTAAGCGACGAAATCAATAGTACTGTCGTGTGTGGCTTGATAGGGATCTGCCCTGGTCCCGATCTGGGCGAAAACGATGTAAGTTATAGATAGCGAATTTGTTAATGTATGTTACGTGAATCGAATAAATCGGTTGTACTTTTTGGCCTGAAGATGCCAAGTGTTTTTTCTTTGTTGCTTAAACAGGATACGCCAATTATACCACTACTTCCCGTTCAAACTGTGATCAAATTACAAAGTAACAAAAGAGGGTCAGTTTCCTTGACCAGAGGGGGTTCTAGTGTTAGGATTGTCAATCCCGAGTTGACCCCAGAGTCAGCTCAATTGCCCATCGAAAGACTTATGCCCCAAACTCTCACAATGATCGGTAACACACAACTCTGCACCTTCTGTGAATACTTCTTGCATTACGTTCAGAAAGCAATTACCGATCCCAAGGATGAGGTATACTTTTGGATATTTGTTTTATATCTTTTTTACGACCTTAATAATTTAAGGACGAAATCAAGAGAGTGGTTGGTAAAGCTTGTGATCGTTTGCCCAACTCTGTTAACGAAACGTGTTGGGAATTTATTAACACGTACGGAGACGCATTCGTTGCCCTTTTGGCTCAGGAGATCGATCCTTCAGTTATCTGCCCACTTTTGAGCGTTTGCAAGGCCGAAGATTCTCGTGATGTTGACGTTTTCATCAAAGACAATAAGGGCGACAAACCCAACTGTCCGTTATGTCTCTTTGCCGTTACCAAACTCGAAGAAATCGTCAAAGAGAACAAAACTGAGGTGAGACAGTGCTACGGGGATTTAGAAACGGTCTAGACGGGAACTGTTTGTCTTTTTTCAGAAGGAAATAAGGGAGGAATTAACCAAATTGTGTTCGCACCTGTCTAAACAGCTTAGAGAAGAATGTGATACGTTTGTTACTGCTTACGCTGACCATATTGTGGACGCCGTCCTGGCCAATCTGACTCCTCAAGAAGTTTGCGTTTATATTAAGCTTTGCTCTGATACAAGAACTTACAACGGGATCCATCTGGAACCGAGAGTGGATAGCCCATTTGGCGGTGAAATCCGTGAGTATTCCGAAATTTCGGGAAACGATACGGCGACTAATTTTCTTTTTAGTTACCAATGAAATTCCGGATCACACAGCAAACGGGAAGACCCTAATAAGTCCCTCTATGTCCAAACAGTATTCGTCGTTGGGTTGCGTTGTTTGCGAATTCGTTATTGCCCAACTTGAAAATGTTCTAAGCGACAACAGTACAGATGTAAATAATTAATTATTTAATAAAATAATTCGAAGTGGTCTGTATTCTGTCGAAACTGCCAGACGCGGATCGCGATTTCGATCTTTTTGGATCTCATCAGCGCGTC